TCATCATCTTCATCATCTTCATCATCTTCATCTTCATCTTCATCTTCATCTTCATCTTCATCTTCATCTTTATCTTCATCTTCATCTTCATCTTCATCTTCATCTTCATCTTCATCTTCGTCTTCATCTTCATCTTCATCTTCATCTTCATCTTCATCTTCATCTTCATTTTATATCTTTGCGTTTATCCCTTTCTTCTTCTACATACTCAACTTTACCTTCTTCCTTGCATAAGTCTTTATGTACATGAATGTGATTCCTGAACTGCTGCTTAGCACATTTCTGTAATTTAGTATGAATATTAAAGCATACATTTAGGAGGCATTTCCGGCCTAACCATGTACATGTATGGCATTGGTATTGGCTTCACTTTAGAATTGATTTTTTCGCTTTATGTTAAAAGAATTTGAAATTTTAAAAATTGCCTGCACATCAGCGTCAAAATACCTTACTAATGATATGGAGTTGTTTATACCTTAGAAGTATAGTTTAGCCGTAAAAGGGGTGTAAAGGAAATACAATTGCCTATTTATATATAAAACTAGCAGAGCACCCGACGTCGTTCGGGGTAAACAAATCTAAATATAAAACAGTAATAAAAATATTCAGATCAGCATAGATTAGAGCAGAAAAACTATTTTCTTTTCTTTCTAAATTATGGCATCCTTGTAAGCCGTACTTTAAGATTTATCGTACTTTAACTAATATATATTGATCACGACTTTCTGTACTAAAAATCTTGTTCCATTGTTAATATTAGCTGGATTAAGGTAACGATAGAATTTTTAAATCAAAATTAGTCCGCTATGGTACATTCCGTTTAGCTTCCTATTCGCTTAGCTGTTTTAGGGCCGGTTACTCAATGTCTGGTTAACACTAAACTCCGATTAAACATCGCTATCGACCTCTTCAACTCCATGCATAAAACAGGGAGTCGGTTACGTCGATAACTATGTTTAACCGGAGATTAGTGCTAATTAAGCATTGAGTAACCGGCCCTTAGTTAGCTGCATTTTTTCTGTAGAATGTTTATTTCGGAAAAAGTTTTATTCATTATACATGTTTCGTTTAACAGCATCGCGTGATCAATGAAATTATTTAATCTTTCTATTTCAAGATGGTCTAAAGACTGTAAGGTTTCAAAAAACACAGTTTTAAATATCCGAGTTCTCTAATAGTTGAATACATACTTATCCCCCTTTTACAAACACATTTATATATACTTTATTCTAAGCACCTCCCATATACATGTCTGCATACCAAATTTCAGGTTCATGTGACTTATGGTTCCCAATTTATAGCTGGTTAAAAATTCCACGCCTATGGGATGTGAGACATCCCCTTTTATAAACCCATTAATATATATCTTACTATAAACACCCACCAAAAATATGACTGAATACGAAATTTCAATTTCACGTGACTTATGATTTTAAAGTTATAGCTGATAAAAAATTCCACGCCTACGGGATGTGCCACGCCTCCTTTTAAAAACTCACTTATATATATATCTTTTTATAAGCGCTTACCATATCTATACCTGCATACCAAATTTCAAAGCTCGTGGAGCTTATGGTTCCGAAGTTATAGCTGATAAAAAATTCCATGCCTATGGGTTGTACCACGCCCCCTTTTACAAACTCATTTATTTGCAGCCTACTATAAGCACCTACCATAGCTAAGCCTGCATACCAAATTTAAAGTCATGTGACTTATGCTTTCGAAATGACAGCTGATAAAAAATTCCACTACTACGGGATGTGGCGGGTCATGCCTCCTTTTACAAACTCCTTCATATATACCTTCGTATAAGCACCTTCCGTAGGTATGCCTGCATCCCCAATTCAAAGTTCATGTGACTTATGATTTCCAAGTTATAGCTGATAAAAAATGCCAGGCCTACGGGATATGCCACACCCCCTTTTTTAAACTTATTCATATCGTCGTTTAAAGTGCAAAACCGCGTATCACCAAAATGCAAAACCGCGTATCAGAAAAATGCAAAACCGCATATGTGAAGTTGTATGAACTATTTTCTAGAGTGTAAGAACACTCATATTTCAAAATGGTTCTCTTTTTTATAAAGTAATCGCATATCTGCCTAGAATATTTCAGGACGAATGGACAAGGATTAAGCCAAGAGCTTGTGTGAGCAAATCCAATTTTTGGCAGCCAATGCCAGTTACGCGGTTTTGCAGAATCACGATGCGCGGTTTTCTACTTAAAACGACGATATACACCTTACTATAAGCACCTACCATAGCTGAGTCTGCTTACCAAATGTCAAGGTTCCGAAGTTATAGCTAATAAAAAATTCAACGCCTACGGGATGTGCCACGCCCCCTTTTATAAACTCATTTATATATACCTTATTATAAGCGCCCACCATA